GGTCCTCTCGCACCCGTGGTTCTCCAACCAGCCGCCGCGCTCGACTGGCCGGAAGCGCACGGTCGACATGTTTGTAGACCTTTGGCCTCTTCATCACCGACATGCTCCAGTTCGTTGCGTTTTGCCAGACACTCGAGTTTGGTGCCAAGACGCAGCAGACGCTCGAGACGGCGAACGACGGCCTCGGCATGATCCAATTGTATCTCTCGACCGAGCCGTCGACGATCTCGAGCATGTTTACGTTTCTCAGCAACGTGGTCGGGTCGCTCGTCGACGATATCTCGAGCGAAGAGCCCGACTTGATTCCCGTTGCCAAGCAGCTCCAGCGCACGTACGAAGCGCTCCGGCTCCAGCTCGTGCCCAACTGCCCCACCAGCCACACGCTCATGGCGTGTATATGATGCTACCCCGATGGTCCGTCGTGTTGCAAATGGAATGCAGCAACCACACGCTGACAACGCGGCGCCGCGTCGTCGTCTCTGTCCCTTGTGCCGTCTCTGTTTTTATTAATTTAATAGCCCTTTTTGACTCTTTCTTTGCTGACAATTGGTCTGTCCTGGTGTTTGGTTTAGTTCCAGGGGTCGGTAGAGGTCGCCGAATGTAATAGTGTCTGCCTGTCGCTGGACCTGACGTCAGCGCCGTGTCACATGGAGCAGTACCAGTGACGTGTGCGATTGACGGTCACAAGACAAGTCGCGTGCTACTTTGAGGTGGAGAAGGGGCCTACAAGACTGCACTTGTCCATTATTGTCAACTAAATTGTGATGATTTAAAGGCGTCGTCATATATGTGACGCGTCGACCGTCGACAAACAAGTCGCTTTGCAAAGTCGCACTACGGTCGCACACGCATGGAATACAACTTCAAGCTACAGTACAACTACGGTATGCACAGGTATGTACACTATGAGCAAGAGAGCTTTGGAAGATTGGACACATTGTCCGCTTCCTCTCCTTGGTGAGTCGTTGCAAGATGGATTTTTCGGTACGCAGCTCACTCCCAATGACCACGTGCCTACCATTCGATGCGGCGCTTAGTGTGCACACTTGGTGAGTTGCTTTTTGCTAAATCGATGCCAACGCCGACACGCTTGAATACTTCAAGAATTGATAAATCGATTGTCCTCTTGTTGATGGTCTGCTGTGAATTGTTGGTCGTATTTCGTGGCCACCAAACGTTTCAGAAACCAGGGCTGGGGTTGGCACAACCCTAGCCCTCCATCTGGGACCGCAACGCCTGTTTGTGTCGGTCGATTGACATGATATATTGACACCAACTATGCACCGTTTCTATCACGACTTACGTTAGACAAAACAGCACTGACTAGAAACACAAGAACGTGGCCAGTGAGTCAATGACGAATACGTACCTAACGTTAGCTAAAATGGTTGGAGTTGTCGTGGCCCATCGCCGAGGCTTGCATCGTCTGCATACGCGCCTCCATCTGCGCCAAGAGCACTTCTATGCACTCGACAGTACATATCGAAACGGAGAGTGCGCTGAATATGTTTATATTACATGCCAGGACGCTTCCTAACGTGGGCTGTTGCCATCGTCGCTTCGAGGGTTTGTCACCACTTGACAAGTCGTTTGTTGTGATGTGCACAGCGCTCGATTCGTCGTACAATAGCGTGTTGACGATTCGATGGCTTGCCATTCGCAAGGCGCATTGGAGCGAGAAACCTCGAGACGACATGACTGCCTCGCAAACGATCGATTCGCTGCGTTCATCGGTCAGTAAACACTCTACTCGGCCGTGCCATGTGCGTAGTTGCTATCGCCGGCGTTGCGGCACTGATCATGTGGTATCGGTGCCCGTGATATTGCATATTGGTCCGGACAGCGCACTGTACAATACTACATATATATTGACGGTGAAACCGGCGTGGCTGTATAAGATCCGCCATCAACCGAGTATCTGGCCATGGAGAACGTCGGCGACGTCGTCGTGGACGCACCAGTAGACATCACCGACAACAACCATGGGGACGAGCTAACCCTCGAGGTGACACCCGAGTTTGCACCGCGCTTGGAGCCCCTATTTCAGCTGCAAGCGTCCGAAGAAGACACATCCAAAGGCGCTCAGCTCTGCGCGGCGTCGAAAGAAGGTGCGATCGAAACCGTGCGCAAGCTCGTGCTCGAGAATGCGCCCGTCGGATTTGTGACGACGTCGGGCTGGACACCGCTCGCGTTTGCTTGCTTCAACGGACGCCTCGAGGTCGACGACCTTTCTCCATACTAGTATCGTCGCATGTCTGTTGACGGAAATCTCTAGGTGGTGCAGTACTTTCTCGATCTGGGGGCTGCCGACACGTACAAGCAGGCGCCCATCATGACTGGCGAGAAGCGCAAGCCGGCGCAGGTCAACACGCCGCTGCACTGGGCCATCTACAAGGGCCACCCAATGGTCGTGTACACGCTCGTGACAAATGGCTTTTCGATTGAAGACGCCGATTCGTGCGGCAACCGCGCGTTGCACCTCGCTTGCTCCAATGGCACGTTCGCCATCATTGAAGTTGACCCATATATCTCGAACCCTTTTCGATTGACAACTTGTCCATAGATCATCTTGTCGCACGCGCCCGACCTCACGGCCAAGAACGTCTATGGCAACACGCCGATGGACCTCACGACGGACGGTGCGGTCCGCAAGCTCCTGAAGAAGATGCAAACGCAAACGATGTGCGACGAGTGCCACGACGTGTTTTCACGCAGCCGCCGCGGTACGCTGTGCCAGCAGTGCCACAACCTTGTCTGCAACACTGGCTCGTGCTCGTCGAGGTAGGATTCCCCGCTGTCTTCGGCTACTGTAGTGGACTTTATTGGAATGGCATAGCCTCGAGATGCCGTGGGGGACGACCGCAAAAGCGTGCGCCGCGTGCGTTACTGTCGCGCGTGCGTCCAGGCGCTTGCGCAGGTCGAAGCCGACCTCGAGCAGGTGCTGACCTCGAAGCGCTTGGCGGTCGCCGAAGCGATGTCGCCGCTCGCGGCGCTTGACGGCGTCGTTGGCCACC